GATGGCTTGCCTAAGGAGCCTGATGCTATTGTTCTCTGCAGTCTCATCTAGTGCCTCCCTTGCCCTAAAGTCATCTGGCTTTGTTTTGGTTCTCAGAATGCATCATTAAAAATACAGTTGCCTACAGATGAATGGATCAAGAAGATGTGGTTTATCTATACCATGGAACACTATATGGCAATGAGAAAGAATGAAATCTGGCCATGTGTAGCAACATGGATGGACCTTGAGGGTGTTATGCTGAGCGAAATAAGTCAGGCAGAGAAGGACAAATATCATATGTTTGCACGTATAGGAGGATTAGGAGGAACTTGACGGAGGAACAAGGGGGAGAAGAAGGGCGGAAATGGTGGGGGAAAGGGAGAGAGGCAAACCATGAGAGACTCTTGAATGCTGACAAAAACTGAGGACTGATGGATGTGGGGGGGAGGAGGGATGGGCATGGAGAAGGACACTTGTGGGGATGAGCACTGGGTGTTATGTGGAAACTAATTTGACAATAAACTATTTGAAACTATTTGTAAAAAAAAAAAAATACAGTTGCCTTTTCCTGGAACACTTTCTGGTGGCCCCACAACCATCTCACCCCATCCCCACTGCCATGAAGGGGACTGAATACTCTATTTAGATAAGGATGGCCTGGGCCTATCACAGTGATAACAGTTGTAAAGGGAACCAAATCTGGATCATGGATCACTGTTAATAGTAACTCCTTCCACTTCGGTACAAGAATATAGAACCCCAATGAGGTCAACAAACTTTCAGAAGTCACCCACCCTTGACCTTTTATGAGAACAAGGAAGTGAGGGGAAGGGGAAAAGACTCTCTCTTTAGCTCATAACTAAAATAGTATCTCTCCCGCCAACTGAAATACAAATAATCTTTCCCACCTCCACTGGAGGTCTTGACCTTAGAGTAAAGCCTATCAGATATCAAATAATTGATGGGGTTTTAATCAGTGAATCACTTTGCTTCTGATCAACCTTGAGCTTTGATTGGCTGTCCTTGGAAAACAGGGTTTGGGGATGGGAGGAGAAGTAATTCTAGAGTTTTGAAGACAAGTTAGGCATGGAGAGGGACTCTGGATAGCAAGAGGTCAGCAGGAAGGCACTGGGCATCTGAACTCCAAGGCAGTGCTTTCAAATCTGGCTACAGATTAGAACCACCTGGGGACCTTTTTACAATTACCATGGCCAAGGACATCTATCAAATCAGAATACCTGGGGAATAGAGCTTAGACATTACTATTTTTTATAAAGCCCCTCAAACAACTCTTAAGTGTAATCAGGGCTGAGACCCCTATTGGGTATAGGAGAAGGGAATGCCATGGAATGAGAAAAAAGCAAAGGCTTAGGCATAGCAACATGAATGGATCTTAAGACCATAGGCACTAGGTGAAAAAAGTATGAAACATAATGAGATAAACAAAACAATATTACATACATGTTACAATGTATAATGAAATATATAAACAGTACATAATAGAATTAAAAATGTAGCACATGAAGGGTGACTGTGTGGCTTAGTCGCTTGCTTGAGTGTCTAACTTCAGCTCAGGTCATGATCTTGTGGTTCGTGGGTTTGAGCCCCACATCAGGCTCTATGCTGACAGATCAGGGCCTGGAGTTTGCTTTGGATTCTGTGTCTCCCTCTCTCTCTGCCCCTCCCCCACTGACACTCTGTCTCTTTGTCTCTCAAAAATAAATAAATATTATTATGTGGGGAGGGAAAAGGGAACAAGCTCTGCGCTAAAAGAGGACAATTAACAAGACAACTATTTGTAAAACTAGACCTTGAAAGATGAGTTGGAAAGAGGGAGAAAGGGAAGACTTGTAGAAGTCTGAAATGATTATCACAAGCCAAGGCCAGGAGGCAGGAGTATGCTGAACAGGTGTGTAGGAGAGATGTCTGATTGGAACAGAGGGGCATATGAAACCAAAGTGGGAAGTCAGGTTGGCAAGGGGACTGGATAAGATTGTGAAGTTCTGGAAAGCCAGACAAAGGAATTTAAACAAAAATGATGGAGACAGGAGAGCCAGAAAAGGATTGATCAGGGAAGAACTGGGATGAAAGTGAAGCCTAAAAGATAGTGCCGTATGAGATGAGCCTTGAGTCAGAGAACCAGATTGGAGGTGAATATAGTGAACTTAGCAAATAAGATGGTGATAGTCTGGAATAGACTAACATTGGAGGTAGAGGCTGGAAAAGACATTTTGCTAGATTACTGTCTGAACACAGACACTAATAGACCAGAAGAAGCAAAGAGTACTCTGAACCAGGAGATTGGGGAGGAAATTAAGTCCAGTAGTAGGTGTGATATCTTATACTGGAAATCCAATTTTTCAGTAAAGTGAAGCTTTAAAAGGTTCTAATGATTTGGTGTTCTTGAGCAACTGCACCATAAGCAGGCTCATAAGTGCACCCATTTTAGAGTTGGCAGAGACATTTGTCTTCCAGATGATAAGAGAGAGGACTAGAGAGGTTCAGTTAATTGCCCTTGAGTCAAACAATTAACTGGAGGAAGAATGGGCTAGAACCAGGCCCCGTAACATCTAGGCCAGCAAATACTCTTCAACTATTTTGGATATGAGAGGCTTCAAAATCAAGGCAGTGTATACTTGGATTTCTCAGTTTGCCTGACCGTGAGCTGTCAACTTTCAAGAAATGATTTACCCTTTCTGTACCCTGTCCCTGCCAGCTTCAATCCGTATGCATATGAACTATCTAACTTGTTGGGCTTTCAAATGAAAACTCCTTGGGTTTGTTTTACTAATCCTTCCCTTTAGTGGCTGAACGAAGTGTCACTGACTGGCAGCCTCATCTGGCAGTATTTTCATACTCTGTCATGGATAACAAAGTAAAACGAATGACTTCTCCACAGAATAGAATGTTAGCGTTTAAAAGATCTTAACCCAAACTGAAACCCTCTAGATGTTACCCATGACAGACAGTCATCCTGCCTCTATATGTTTTCAGGAATGGGGTGGTCCATTCCTCTGTCAGTACAGCTCTGATTACTAGAAAGCTGAGTCTGAGTCCTATGGCTCTGCAGTGTGGTTCAGGGAAAATAGCACAGGTCTTGCGGTCAGGAGGACTTGGGTTAGAATTCTGACAATGTACTTTGCTGTATAACTTGTGCAAGTTATTTATCTTCTATCAGTCTCTGCATCTGTAAATTAGGAATAATAATGCCTATCTTGCAGAGTTACCAAGAATATTCAAAATTATGGATATAAAATTCCTAGGACAAAGCCTGGCACAAAGAGCCAATAAAGTGATAGCTGTTATTATTGTCATATGCTACCTACATGTGCCTTTTGATACTTTTTTGTTTTTTTACTTTTTATTTATTTTTGAGAGACCAAGAGAGACAGAGCATGAATAGGGGAGGGGCAGAGAGAGGGGGAAACACGGAATCAGAAGCAGGCTCCTGGCTCTGAGCTGTCAGCACAGAGCCCAATGCGGGGCTCAAACTCACGAACCGAACCGTGAGATCGTAACCTGAGCCGAAGCGGATGCTTAACCTACTGAGCCACCCAGGTGCCCCCATCTTTTGATACTTTCAAACACTTGAATTTAGTTGTCATGTTATTCCTAAGGGCTCTTTTTTTTTTTTTTTTTTCCCTTCACAGTAAGCATCTACCAATGTTTTCTCCCTTGGTCATCCTGGTCTTGTCTATGCTGCTGCATATGATGTTTTGCAGGACATGGTACCCATAACTGAACCAAGTATTCCAGGTGTGGTCTGACTGCTTCAAAACAAAGACCACGAGCCTCTCTTCCCCCAGACATTGTGCTTCAAGCTGCCTAGAACTCTTTCAGCATTTCTGGCAATTGCGTCACATACCGCGTTAGTCCTGTGAAAACTTCCGGATAGTATCCATGTGAATGAGTTTGTAAGTTTTCTCCATTTTGCACTTGTATAGAACTTTTTAAAATTCAAGAGTAGAACTTTATTAACTGAAAGCCTATCATGTGTTAAGTATTGTGCTGAGGTCTGTGGACAGAGAGACAATGAGGATAACATATCAAAGTACTAGAAATGTGAGCTCCACAAAACTGGGTCTATCATGTTTACCAGTGAATCTCCATTTCTTAGGATGATGTCTGGACACAGTTATGTGCTTATTGTTGAACAGATGAATAAAATAGTTTACAATGGAAATTTTTCCTGTAAGTGGAAAGGCATTTTCCTAATTCACGTATTTTATCAGTTCGGATATTCTGTACTAACCTATCACTTTTAGCTCAACCCCAGTGTTTTTTTCCACCTATGGCAGACCCAATCTAAAATCCTACTGTCCCTTTCCAGGACAAACGAAATACTTCCAAGCTTTATTTGTTGGATGGTCATTATATCCCACCACTGAAGGCATTTTGTAAGCACTTTTTGACACTTAATGCAGGGCTTAAATCCCAGGTTAGCAGTAACAGGTCATGCCTTCTGAGTGCTAAATACCCAAGAATTTCCTGACGCGAGTTCTCTCTGGCTCTGACTTCTTATGGGAGTAGAATAAGGTCCTCAGGGGAAGTGTGAGGTCATAAGTTAGAAGGACCTTGAAATGTGCATAGGTCCGTGAGGTGCTGCCAGGACCTCTGGGTCCTCTCAGTTTTTTCTAGTGTTTAGGCTACAGGTGAGGCAATCGTCGCCATCTTGATATCAAATGCCAGGCAAGCCGCCACTGGCGTCGCTCGGTAACCACGGAGACACCCGTGCCCCCTCCCGTTTCCCATCCGTAGAGGCTGTAAACTACGATTCCCATCAGCCGATTTTTCTCTACTTGATGGCGAGTTGTCTAGATTTGCCTTTTGGCCACCGTGACCGTGCCGCAGTGAACTGCGGGAATTGCGGTTCGCGACTGGGCTCCACTTTTTGCCGCGGGAAACTCCAGCACTACAAATCCCGTGAGCCAGTGGGCTCACGCAAGTGCACGGAGCAGCGGGTCCTCCCTGGCCCCCTGCCGGAGCCTGAGAGGTAAGAGGGGGCGGGGGAAGGAAGAGGAGGCGGATCCGGGCGCTGCGTTGGCTGCGGCCCGGCCTGGCACCAAGGGGGCGGCCCCGGCGGAGTGCAGACCCAGTGGCCCCCGGCGATTATGGACCCAGCCGAGGCGGTGCTGCAGGAAAAAGCGCTCAAGTTTATGGTGAGGAGAAGGCTCAGGCCGGGGAGCGGTGGAGGCTGTGGCGTTGGCGGCGTCGCTGAGGCTCGGGCCTGGGCCGCCCGTCTGCGGGAGGGGGCAGCAGGACCCTGGGCCGAGGCCCGCGGCGGGGGCAGCTGAAGGGACGGGACGGGAGAGCTCCAGGGAGGCGGGAGGGGGTTGCGGAGAGGACCCGGGGGTGGGGGCAACAGCTCCGCCATCTTGTGGATGAGAGGCCAAGTGACAGCGGGAGCTTAATCGGGGAGGGGGCTCTGGGCGGCGCGCGGGGCCCTGGAGGGAGAGGGGCGTGGGGACAGTTACTGAAGAGCCGAGGAAGCCCGGAGGAGAGACCCCGTGAGGCTGCTGGCAGGGCCTTCTCGGTGTCAGGGTTACGGGTAAGGCCCAGGAGAGGAGGTGCGTTCAGGAGTGGGGAAGGGGAGCGAGGGCGAGTAGAAGGAGAGATATGGGGCTGGGGGCATGGGGGGAACCGGCAGGGCGGGATGCAGATGGATCTAAGGGTAAAGGAGAGAAAGCCAGGGCAGGTGGGAGACTTGTAGTTTTGCAGAACGGTGCGGGGTGGGGGTGGGGGGAGTGTTGTGGGGAGGGGAGATAGCCTTTGCCTTCAGGGTACAATCTCAGCTTGGCTAAACTGATGTTGACAAACTCTGGAAAGGAAGAGGCCATACTCAGGAGGATGAGGGCTTAGGGATGGAGACCTAGGGTTGTGGTGATGGTCTTGAGGGCAGGAAGGGGGTGTTGAATTACAAATGTCAGAAAAAGGGATACCTACTCTCCTTTGAAAGGAGAGGCTAATGATTATAGCTAGGATGAGGTGATAAAAAGCAAGAGATTGGCCTGTCAGGGAAACAGGAGATTGGAGGAAAAATTAGTATCTAATAGAGTAAAACAAAACATAGTGCTAAATTGTTAAGACAGTAAAACATGGGGGCCTGGTGCAGTATCACTTTCTGGGAAAGGAAAGGCCATGGAGATTACAATCGCAGGGCTCCTAAGAAGTGATAAGATCAGTGGAGAAATTCAGGAGATAAAGAGGAGATGTAACTAGTGGGGAATAGAGGTCAGAATTGGTGTTTACTTATCAGTTTTAGGTTGAAACAGTATGAACTTGGATTGGAATTTGTTGGGTGTATTTAAATCCTTTGGAGCCTAGTTTTCTTTAACTTTGTATCACGCTTTTCTTTTGCTGTGCTTGTTTGGCAAATTTGTATAGGCTGATATTTGATGCTTTTAATCTGCTTCTTGCATATCGTAGGTGTAAAACCAGACTTTGTGGTTACTGCTAAAGAATGATGGAATGCATAGACTGCTATCTTAACAGATGGCCTTAGGGATATTGACGTTATTTGCAGCGAAGTCTTGATTTTCTCAGAAGTAATTGTAACCTCTCATTCAATCTCATTTCTTTGATAGTTGTTATTTTGTTTTTGCCTGAAATACCAAAACAAATCTAAATAAACCTGGACACCATCCTAATTGAAATTAGGGTTTAAACTGCCCCATTTATAAGAATACTTTTTCAGAGACTGGTCAACTTTACTAGAACTTTGTTCATTTTGTATTAGTGCATTCAAAATCACCTACCTAAAGTTCACGTGTATTGTTAACAAAATCCCATTAGGCCTGAAGAAGGTTTTTGAATTTCTGCCAAAGTTGAAATTCTAAAATATTACATTTTTCTGGACTTTAGAAATAAGAGGAAGTTGCTTTATATTTTATTTTATATTAAATAATCTCTATGCTTAATAGCCTATATGTCAGCTTCTAGATTTTAGTTAGAAAATTGGTAGATGCTTATTTTTCCTACTTAGAGGTTGACTCTGTCTTGATCTTGACACTTGGGTCAGACTTATGGAATAATGTGATTTATAGATCATAAAGTGACATTATGAGATCATCTTCCTTACTGTTCCTTTAGACCTCAGCCTAGGAACATTCTCAACTGCTTGATTTCTGCTTTGTACCAGTGAGTTAATGTTTCGATAATGGTCTCCCGATTGAGTTAAAGTGGATCTGGAGATGGCCATGTAGTAGTTTGCAGCTTTTAGGGCACACGCATTATTAAATATTGAGTCATTTTCCGTTGGGAGAAGCCAGTTTTTTTCTTTAATTGTAGTTACTTTCATTTTTGACCTTGCCTGCTATTTTGGCTGCTGTTTGAGAAAAGACCAATTGGAAGAGGGTCACCAAGAATGACACCTTAGTAACTGACGCAGAGAATAGAGAGTTAGAAATTTTGTATTTTTCAGCTCAGTCACAATCTAATTATGAATCTGAGTAAGTCACAACTTGCCTTTGGTCTCATTTACCCTGCTATAATGCGTCTTTTTACTCAGTCACTTTTGAGATAGGAAGATCTTTTATTTGTGCTAGTACCAAGTCATTAGTGCACAATACACATGGAGGAATGGTCCTTTTAATCAAATTGAAATTTTTATGTAGTTTTTGTATTTGTTTTGGTCTTGTCCCTTCCCTCAACTGCAAATTGTGAATTGCATTTTTTGTACAGATACACTGATTTCCATAGTTTAAGAAAATGTAAAATTTCTTTAAAATGCCAATGTGAAATAGATACTCTCTTTCATGAATTTTGCTTATTACAACATTAATGTAGTGCTTTGATTAGGAATTTTACAATAGAGTCTTATTAACGAGAGTGCTAATTCAGAGTTGACCATAGTTTACACATAGTCTAGATTTAAAGTTTACCCCTGGATACTTGTGAAAAAATGGTTTAAGCAGAATGTTTAACTTCTAGAAACAAATGACATTGGAACAGTAGTTTATATTGAATAACTTGTATGCTGATATCTCATTCAGCGTTAGCAGGTCCTTCTTAACTAATACTTGGTCAAAAATTGTAATTCAGAAAAGATAAATGGGAACTGGAAGAGGATCTGAGAAGACAAATGAAAATGATTGAGGGAATGTAGGCACCATTTTATGAGATATTAAATATATATATATATATACAGGGATGGAAAGATGAGTTGAGGAATGAATTTGAAGTTTGTTTTAAAAAACGGACAGGATAAACCCGTCCCAGAATATTAGATCTGGGGAAACATTTGAACTTGGATGAAATAATTTTGGGACATATAAAATATTTTTTATAGAATTGATAGATAAGTTAAGCAGTATAAAAGATAGCTTGTGGTGTAACAGACCACCTCACCACTTAGTAGCTTAAAAAACCAATTTACTATTTCTCTCAAATTTGTGGTTGGTGGTGGGTTTTCTGTTTCACTTGGTGTTGGCTGGGGTGCCATCATAGCTGGAATGTTCAGAACAGCCACACTCACAGGGCTGACCACTGGCTGAGAGTTCAGTTAACCCTGAAGGCCTTCAGTCCTACTTTATGTGGGCCTCCTTTCTCCGCATGGCCTTTGGATTTACTTAAGCATGGTGCCTGAATTCTAAGAAGGAACATTCTAAGGGACCGGAAATAGAAGGCAATCAGCCAGTTCTTTTAAGTCCTTGGATTGGAAGTCTGAGAATGTCACTCATGGTCAGATAGTCAAGGCCATCCCAGAGTCAGAGGGATGGGGAAATAATCTCTGCCTGTAGACAAGAAGAATGACGTGCTTAAACAGGGAAATTGCTGGGGGCCATGCCCTTTTGAGGCTGGCTACCAGGTATACTATTCTAGTTGGATGTTCAAGCTAAAAATACAAATGGAATCAGCCAAATTTGTGAGTAAAAACACTAGGTTTGCTTTGGAAGCATTATTTTTGTGGTTAACTTCTTAAGGTACTAACATGGTCTCCTGCATGCCTTGTCTTAATAACATCACTGCAGAGATAATACTGGGTGAATAGTATGATTCAGTAACTTTTATTTGCTTGAGAAGCGTATGTATCCAAAAGCAAGAAATTGCACTTTAAAATAAATACTCAGAGTTTTCACTGTGATGGGCTTTTCCTTAAGTCAGTGAGATTGATTACCAGCTGGTTGGGTGAACATTTGAAACTAGTTCTTACTTTAAGTTGTCAGAGTTTCTATGTGTCTTTCACCTGTTTTCAATTTAAATTAGCCTTCACTTTCTTTTCTGGGTGCTCATATAGGTATTAGGGTATGAAAGTATGAATTAGTGGATAATTCTTTGTGCTAATTTTTAAAATTCATGTTGGGGATAGATGTACATAATATATTATTGGAAGTGAATTATTTTTTTTAAGTTTATTTATTTAGAGAGAGTGTGTAGGGGAGGGGGAGGGAGAGGGAGTGTGAGCTCAGATATTTATTTTATCTGAATTTAAATTTACCTGAATTAAAGCAGGCTCTGCTCTGTCAGTGCAGAGCAGAGGTAGGGCTAGAACTCACGAACCCTGTGAGGTCATGACCTGAGCTGAAAACCAAGAGCCTGTTGCTTAATGGACTGAGCCACCCAGGTGCCCCAGATGTGAATTATTAGTTGTAATTATTATTAGTTGTACAATTATTAGTTGTAAAGTGAAAATTCCATTTTGAAAAATTGTCAGAAGAAAACAATTTTAAGTTTATTTATTTTGAGAGAGAGTGAGTGGGAAGGGCAGAGAAAGAGAGAGGGAGGGAGAGAATTTCAAGCAGGCTCCATGCCATCAAGAGGTCTTGATATCATGAACCACGAGATCATGACCTTAGCAGATATCCAGAGTTGGAGGCTTAACCAACTGAGCCACCCAGATGCCCCAGATAGATAAGTGGTCTCTTTTTAAAGTTCATTTTCTAATTTAGGATTAAAAAATTTCTGATAGGGTGCCTGGGAGGCCCAGTCAGTTAAGCCTTCCCCTCTGGATTTTGGCTCAGGTCATGATCTCATGAGAACCCCATGTCCCGTTCTGCACTGATGGTGTGGAGCCTGCTTGGGATTCTCTTCCTCCCTCTCTCTCTGCCGTTCCCCCTCTCACATGCACTCTCTCAAAATAAATAAACAAACTTAAAGAAGAGAGCACTTATTATTGAATATTATTTATATAGTGTTTAAATCCTGAAAGAGAGGAAGCAGA